ATTTCAGTCCATTACTGATAGTGTGTTACCAATGGTGTTCTTGGTGACTGTGGTCTCTCCCCATTGTATAAGCCACAATTGTCAAAATTAAAATAAAAGGCTTGAAATATTTCTGCCTTTTCATGATATTCTGCTTTATTTAAATGCACCGATATATATTTTCAGAAAGTATTAGCTCGTTCATCCTCTTTGTGAAGTGTGTGCCTGCCGGTTCGACCAACACTTCAGTCCAAAGTGAACTTGGTCATTAATAATAAAAAGCCTGCCATGAAAATTACATGTTTATGGTAACCAGGGGATGATTCCCAGACCTTTTTTCTTTTTTTAAATCAACATACAAGAATTTTTCCACTACTTTGACATACTTTGATTAAATGAATTGAATAACGCAGCCTTTGGTAGGTTGCCAGGTTTGTATTGTAAATACAGCGCAAGCAATACATGCTCAGCATCAGCAGAGGATTGCCATAAGTATAGTAGCATTTAGCTTTAAGAACAACTGTTCTTAAATCTTAAGTGCAGTTTAAAAAAAAGTATGAAACAAACATTTTTATGACGGTCCTTAATTACATGCGAGGAAATGTAACCTTCATAAATGTTCATCATCTGAATAAATGTACTAGAATCACAGCTGAAAAACAGTCATGATCAGAGATGAAATGAGGATTGTCAAAACAGATTCCAGATCAGCCTGGAGGCCGTCTGTTTAGCTTGATTTCTGTGCCTGTCTGTTGGGGCTCTGGATAATGTTACAGCACGCTTCACTCATAGGATGCTTCAATATCTGCAAGGCGTCGGCCCGCCCACTTCTTCCTCCTGGGTGCTTCCTGTGTTGCCCAGATAGGCAGCCAAATATGGGGTCATAGTGTAACAGATGATCTGCATGTAGACAAGGAGGTGGTTTTGTGGCATATTTGTAGCTTAAATTTCCTCGTGTCAGCATCTTTCCTGTGAGATTGCACAAACACTGGCTGTTCAGTGCAGCAGGCTGGCAATGTTTAACGGTCAAGCTGTTTGCTGTGTTATTATAAAAACATCAGCAGTTATGAGACAGGTGCTATATCTCAGAAAGACCAGTTTTTGTGTTGTAAAACATCACAAAGCTCAGAGATTAAGCGATGGTCTTTTAACTTTACCATTTGCAGAGATGAAAACAAATGACCCCATTTCTTCTGGTCCTATGCCTTGGGATAGTTTTGTATATTTGTCAGACGGGGAATTTGAGTACAAAACTGTGTGGGAAGAAGATGCCAATCTAACAAAGAGAGTAGTAGTAGTCTGCACGCTATGATTAAATGTGTCCAGCTGAACAAATAAGCACTCTGAAATTTTGTGGGAAGAGTTTTGCATGAAAAACCCTGTCCTCCGAAACCACCGGCAGAAGCAATTTTAAATTAGTACCATAAATAACAGCCTTAGGACATCTCGAGGTACTTTCCCTTTACCCAAAGGAAGCAATAAGCCTTAAGAATTCTTAAGATTTCTTGACAAAGACCAGGG